GGGGAGATGGGAGAAGTGGTAAGTTGAAGTATAGAAGAAATTTGTTGTAGCATGTTGAGGGGTCACAGGAGTTTGAGAATATTGAAAGTGACACCTCTGAGTTGTCTTTTACAAGGGTGCTCACTGTATACTCGACTCTCACAGTTCTACAAGAAGTAGCAATACTCAGGTTATGCATTAGAGAACTGTGTTTGTCTACCTTTTCTGGGTAGGTAGTGAAGAAGTCTATCACAGTAGTTCATAGTAAATTAAAATGTATTTAAAGCCTGAGTTTTTGCATTAATAAAAGTTTTCTCAGACTTTGATGTTTTTAATAAGTTGATATAAGAATCAAATTCTCAATAATTATATAAGTTTTATTGTGTTGTATTGTTGTTAACTAAACTTTATTATTATATATAATCTTCAGAATTGAGGGTTGACGTTGTTTGTAGGGATTAATTTTTTAAAATGTTAATCTGCTTGATTTCTATTGACAGCAGTCGCCCAATTCAGTCAATACCCTTTCCAATCTTCCAATCATGACAGCATATTCAATATAAAAAAAAAATTTTTTCTAAGTAAAAGTTTTCTTGATTGAATCAAATATAGTATAGGTGACACCTTAATAAATAATCAATTGATTTCGAGTAGGTGTCACCTATACTATATTTGATCCAAAAATTTTAATATAAATTAAAAAAAACTACTAAAAATGATTGTCCCTTTTCTATTGACTCTTTCAACATAATTGATCTACACAGTATATTGGATACCCCAGCATGTTTAACAGTCCTAAATAATTCTGTTTTTTTTTTACGGTAATAGTTTATTCTATTAAAAAATGAATAGCTAAAATCTAATTAAAAATTTTTAATTCAAAATAATTTATACTAAACTTAATGTTTAAACGAAAAATGGTATAGTTTCAATAGTAATTGGATTAAAGTTTATACAAACAAAACAAAGTTTTTTCAATTACAGTATTAAATTGGTTAATAAACAAATTATTAACTTTAATAAAATAGAAAAGCTAGTACCAAATAAATGAAATGACCAAATTCTATTGGATTGAATTTTTCTAACCTTATTCGAGAAGATGCTATAGTTTATCATGTCATGTATTTATATTTAAAAGGAAGCTCATGTTAAAGTGAATTATATTCTATAAAGTGTATTGTTTTCACTTTTAAAGCGCAATAATTTTGCAATTTAATTTGATTATTTAGTTTATGAATTAAATTTTCTTGATAAAATTTTTATTAAATAAACTAATTTTATACTGCATCAGATGAATTTTTTTTTAAAAAAAATATTTGGTAAATTTATGCCCTACAAAGTTATTCCACAAATATTTTTTACCATTTTTCGAATTACAGAGCTTATGTCAGGTATATTTTTCAAATAACTTTTTATTTTGTTATTTTGAAAGATTATAATTTACTTTCTGATTAATAGCACTAGCAATTGAACGAGCTGTTGCTATTGATTCAGTCTTAAGGGCAAGCAAAATTTGGCAAAAAGTTTTTCAAAACCTTGCGATGAGTGATACTGTTATTAAGAAGGATAGATCACCTGTTACGGGTATTTAGAAAAAAAATCTTTACATTCTTGTTTATATATTTTTTCCACATTAATTTTTTTTTCCAATTCAATTATATCAAAAGTTGCTGATTTTAGTGCTCAAGCAGTGATAAGCAAAATTTTATATGAATATTTTCCAAATGATCCTATTGATAACGGAAAAGAACTGAGAAATAAAGTCTTATCATTGGCTAACACTGTACTAGATACTCCCTTGAATGATAATGAGGCTGGTTAATAAAATAAAATCGATAGATGCTTTTTATTTAAACTGTCATTTTTTTTACTGTCTAAGATTCTCATCTTATTCTGGTCATCATAAAACCAAAATTTTATTCAATTATCTTTTTAGTTTTTGTTCTTTATTTTATGATATGTCCTGTATTTGGGCAGGTCGCTACTAAAACTGAAACTTCAAATGCTGTAACTACTTCAATTTGTAATAGCCCAAAAGTGAATACTTGCAATTTTTATAAAGAATGTTTGGAAAATAAATTTCATTGTGGAACTAATGGATATCCAATTCAATATGGAGACAAAAATTGCAACAAATTTTTGAATGCCTTGAATCAGTTTAGCGACCCTGGAAAAAAATGGGTACTTACAAACAATTGATTTAGGAAGCATAAATATTATTATATTAAACTTTTTATACTTTTTATTGGATTTTATTATGAATAAGTAACAGATACAATGCTTTGTCTTCAAAATGCTCTAGTTTCTACCTATAACAATGATAAAGCTACTTGCTCAGAAATAGAAAACACTGCATTTGATTCTCATGCAAGATGTTATGTTGATTCTGGTATATGTAATATCCCATTAGATTGGAAAACTATATTTCAAGTTGTTGGTATACAGGATCTTGGAGGCATGAAGATAGTGCAAGGCATTCAGGTTAGTATAAAAATTATTAAATCTAAATGCAAGTTGTGTGTTATTAAAGTTAATGAAATACTATATATAGCAAATAATACAAACAGTAGCTGGTTGTGCTAGCTTTACTAAATGGTTTTCATCATGTGTCGGTTGTTTGGGAAACTGCTGGACCACCTATCAAACATGTTGGAATAATTGTAATGGAAATGGTCTTTGTTGGACAGCTTGCGCTGGTGAATGGGATGTATAGTTGTTAGACGAAACCATGTGATGCTAAATGTCACATATCATTATTTAATAAAAACTAGATTAAATCTTTAGGTCTTGGTATTTTATGATAGGTGATGATTATCATCACATGGTTTCGTCTAACAACTATAATGGGATGGGTGTCTTTTAGCATGTGTAATATGCGATCTTTGATAATTCATATGGGCCGATTTTTTTACTGATTTAAGTGATGTTTTTACTTCCAAATTGTGTAACAAAAATTAAAAATCTGATTTTTGTTTATATATGTACCGGACAGCAAAAAATATTCACTTTTTACATATAAAAAAAATTGTTTATATATATTTTTAGCCAATCAGAATTCATTCATAAAAATTAGCCAATCATATTCGCTTTTTAAAAAAAAATTGCTATCTGGTAGTATATTTTTTTAGTATTTATATGATAACTAAAGTTTACTATCACCATGAGTTCATTATGAGTTACATATCCATGAGTTATTATGAGTTTTTACAAATTAGAATGATTTCACATAAATTAGATATACTAATGTATAATCCGTGTATCCGGAAACTCTTTTGAAAAAAATGAAAAGAACTTGTAGAAGTCACCAATAATGAAGAAATTGAACTTAATTCTTAAAATCATTAATAGGATAAACGAATTCTACAGGCAAAATCAAGGACAAAATATGTGGTGATGTGATCTGATAAAATAAAGTTAAAAACATTAACTTTAGGTTTAGCACAATTAATAACAACTTCGCAACATATGTCTTCATTTCAATTAACGAATTTTAAATCAATTGACAAATAAAGAATGAATTGAATATATAAAAAAAGAACAGCACTTCGCATTGTATATTCATTTGGATTATAATTTGTAATTTTTATACTCTTGGTTAAGACTGATTTATGATTCTTTTACCAAATCCTTTAAAAGAATAGCACCAATTCAAATGATTTTTTTTTTATATCGATATTATTTAAATAAACTACTAAATTTTTTTGTATTAAAAAATTCCAATACCATCCAATCATTTAGCGTATTTCAAAAAGGGAATTGCCTTTTTGGTTTAAATATCTGATATGCTAAATTCTCTGATTGGTTTATGATGATTTTATTAGAATGGCCTAATTTTGCTTGGAGTTATCTCTAATTTTGCCCGGAATTATAATTAATTTTGCTTGAAAAAATTGTGAAATGTGATCCCATAGGATTGTTCTTCAACTAACGCAAATTCCCATCTCTTTTATAGATGATTCTATCCTAACAAACTCAAGGGGCTTAGGGAAAGAATTAATTAATATATCATTAAAGAATCAGGGCGAAGCTATTATACATCAAGGGGCTTATACTAATTCTAATAATAATTTTCTTCCAACAAATTCTTCCTTTAGCCTATTTTCCAGATCTTCTTTCTTGATCTTGGGTTCTTCTTTTTAGAATTCTTCTTCGGATTTCACGTTGGTTATCATTCCTATTCTTCGGCAGGTAAGCCTCAAATACTGGCTGATCTAGAATTCCAATATTATATCCGGTTTAATCACGAGATTACTGCGCCAGATTGACAATCCTTCTTTGCCCGTGACAAAATGCTTTGTCGGACCGGACTTAGAGCGTCCGGAATTCTGCTCACTCTAAAAATATTTTTTTATATTGTCTCCATAAGATAAATGTGACTTTAATCATTTTTAAAAACTAAATACAATACAAAAAGATATTTTTAGAGCGAGCAGAATCCCTACCCCGTGATCTTGATATAGTGATCAGGATTATTTACATAATGTTATTTTTTCCAGAACTATTTAATTAATTTCAATTTAATTTTTTAATACAGAATTAATTATATCATCAATTCATTCTGTAAAAAATAAAAAATGTTTAATTTAATTTTCATGCAATAAATATGACTTGAATTATCAATGTGATCTGTTATCTGTTTTTCTATTAAAATTATAAAAATTAGGCTAATGGATATTCATATTTAATTTTTTTTAAAGTTTTTGATGCCTAACTCAGCTCAAGCATATTGTGAATATTTAGAGGCTCGAAAGCTATTTAAAGCAAAAGCTAAATATTTGCTTGTTCTATTTGAACTATTGCAATTTGTTTCTGAAGAATCAGATTATAAAAATGCTTTTGTAACATATGATAAAATTAAAGATGAAGGTAATGACAATTTCA